GGTTGCAGAGAAAGGGGAACTCTCCTACACTGTTGGTGGAAATGCAAGCTGGTGCAGCCAGTCCAAAAAATAGTATGGAGTTTCCTCAAAAAGTTGAAAATAGAGCTACCCTACAACCCAGCAATTGCACTACTGGGTATTTACCCCCAAGATACAAATGTAAGGATCCGAAGGGGTATGTGCACCCCAATGTTTATAGCAGCATTGTCCACAATAGCCAAACTATTGAAAGAACCTAGATGTCCATCAACAGTTGAATGGATAAAGAAGATGTGGTATATATGTACATAGTGGAATATTATGCAGCCATCAAAAAATATGAAATCTTGCCATTTGCAATGACTTGGATGGAACTAGAGGCTATTATGCTAAGCGAAATAAGTCAATCAGAGAAAGATAAGTATCATTTGATCTCACTGATATGAGGAATTTGAGAAATAAGACAGGATCATAGGGGAAGGGAGTTAAAAATGAAACAAGATGAAACCAGAGACAGAGACAAACTATGAGACTCTTAACCTCAGGAAACAAACTGATGGTTGCTGGAGTGTTGGGGGGTGGGAGGGATGGGGTGGCTGGGTGATGGACATTGGAGAGGGTATGTGCTATGGTGAGCGCTGTAAATTGTGTAAGACTGATGAATCACAGACCTGTACCCCTGAAACAAATAATACATTATATGTTAAAAGAAGAAGAAGAAGAAGGTGGAAGGGAAAAATGAAGGGGGGGAAGTCGGAGGGGGAGACGAACCATGAGAGACAATGTACTCTAAGAAACAAACTGAGGGTTTTAGAGGGGAGAGGGGTGGGGGGATGTGTTAGCCTGGTGATCGGTATTAAGGAGGGCACGTATTGCATGGATCACTGGGTGTTGTATGCAAACAATGAATCGTGAAACACTACATCAAAAACTAATGATGTAATGTATGGTGACTAACATAGTAAAATAAAATTTTTAAAAAATGGCAGACTTAAGCCCCAACATGTCAATAATTTCTTTAAAAGCACATGCTCTAAGTATATCAATTAAAAGATAGATTGGCCATGTGGATTAAAAATAAAACCTAACTATATCCTGTCTACCAAAAATTCTTTTCAAATATAATGATGTAAGTGGATTGAAAACAATGATGGGAAAAGAGATATTATACAAACATTACTCAAAAGAAAGTAGGCATGGCTATTTTAATATCATATAAGGCAGACTTCGAAGCAAAGCAATTTGACAGAGTCAGGGAAGGACATTCTGTAATGATAAAATGGTTAATCCAACAAAACGACATAGTAATACTAAATATACATGCACCAATGAATACAGCTGAGACATATGAAGCAAAAACTAATTTAACAAAGAATTCAAAGGAGAAATAGACCAATCCACAATTGTAGTTGGAAACTTTCACACCCCTTTGTCAACAATTGACAGTATAATTACATAGACGATCAGCAAGGATAGAAGAGAACTCAGTGATACCATCAATGAAGAGGATCTAACCAATAAGAGCAGAATATCCCTTCAAGAACTCATGGAACATATACCAAAGACCAAATCCTATATCATCAAATAAACCTCAGTACATTTTTAAAGGTAGTCATATAGAGTATGCTCTCCAATCACAATGGAGTCATACTAGAAATCAATAACAGAAATAAATTAGGAAAATCTCCGAACACTTGGAAAGTAACAACACACTTCTAAATAATCCCTGGGTCAGAGGGCAAGCTCCGAGGTAAATCAAACAGTGCATCAAACTGAATGAGAATGAAAACGTGGTTGAGTGCGTTACATGAGGAGCGGCCCACAAGGCGCCCTCCTGTGCCCCAGGGCCAGACGCTCGCTCCAGGTAACCAACTCCTCACTGGGACACACTGTATAAGAAAAGCAGAGTAAATCCTTGATTCCGTGTTATCTTCTAAACAAAAATGATAGTGTAATATACTCTGACAGAAGTGCCTTGTGTTTTCTTTAATGTGCCTCATTCTTTTTAACAGCTGCATAGTATTCCACACTGCAGAGTGTGTGTATCAGACAGCATGTGTGTTTTTTTTTTTAATTTTATTTATTTATTCATGAGAGACAGAGAGAGAGAGAGGCAGAGGGAGAAGCAGGCTCCCAAGGAGCAGGGAGCCCGATGCGGGACTCGATCCCAGGACCCTGAGATCATGACCTGAGCGGAAGGCAGACGCTTAACCATCTGAGCCACCCAGGCGCCCTCAGACAGCATGTTTAACAGTAGTGCTTTTTGACTCTTTGCTGACTGATGACATTTTGTCAGATTCTCAGTCCCTTTTGTTGCTTTCCTTGTCATCGTGTTGGGTATGCAAAGGAGGGGAAGGGTAGTGTCCCTCTTTAGTGCACAAAATGTCATTGTTAATGCTCCTATGAAATACACCCTGGCAGCTTTGAGCAGGCTGGCCACCCTCCTTCCTGCCAGCTTATTTTTCATTCAACAAGCCTGTCTTACTGATGAGGGTCCTGTGGGTTTTTCATTGTTGACGACTTTTATGCCTTCCCAGGTGTTTTAAATGAGGGTATATTTCCCTGCACTAACACTCAGCGTTGCTTCTTTATCTCTTTTCCTGAGAACTTTAGCTGCATCTTGGCCTTTTGAGATCACTGGGGCAGACATTTAGAAACTCGCATTTTTTTGTTTGTTTTTTTTCTGTTTTTTGCAATCATCCAAGCATTAGAGACGTTCGTATTTTGGTGTCTGGGAGTAGAGTGGCTATGGGTAGTAGTCCCTTTGGAGATAACATTCACATGGGTCCTTGTCTGTTTCTGGGTGGAGTCCCTGTGTTCAGTGTGGTTTTTTACTTAGATTTTTAATATAGGTGGTAGAGGTGCTGGAGCACCGCAGCCTCTGTTCTCGTGAGGGGTAATAGGCAGAAAGATGACGCATTCAGACACTAGTGTTCGTAGCTTCCTAAGTGGTTTTAACCTGCACTCACAAACTTGATCATGAGAGACAATTTGAATCTTGATGTATCGATCCTTTCTTTGACAAATAGAAATGAGGACATTTCCCCTTTATATTGGTGTCCTAGGGCTGCCGTAACAAGTCACCACAAACTTGGTGGTTGAAACAACAGACATTTATTCTCACAATCTGGAGTCTAGAAGGCTGATATCAAGGTTCTGGCAGGGTTGTCCTCCCTCCGGCATCTCTAGGGGAGATCCCTTCCTTGCCTTTTCTTAGCTTCTAGCAGGTCCTAGGAATCCTCGGCTTGTAGCTGCATCATGCCAGTCTCTGCCTCCATCTTCACATGGCCTCCTCTGCGTGTCTGTGTCCTGTCCTCCTGTGACAAGAACACCAGTCACTGCACTTTTAGGGTTCACCATTATACTGTATGACATCATCTTAAATTACGAAAATTACAAATCTGCAAAGTCCCTATTTCTAAATAAGTTCACATTCTGAGGCTCTAAGTGAATGTGAGTTTTGGGGGGACATTATTCAAACTGCTACAACCCTCCTAGTAATTTTTCTGTGAGTTTTTTTTGTTTGTTTTGGTTGGTTGGTTGGTTTTGCAAAGTGGTGAGCATTTCAAACAGTTACAGCTAATCCTACCTCATGTTGTTTTCTGGCAAAAATAGTTTTATTTGTAAGAATCGTCTGAGCAGGGGCGCCTGGGTGGTTCAGTCGTTAAGTGTCTGCCTTCGGCTCAGGTCATGATCCCAGGGTCCTGGGATCGAGCCCCACATCAGGCTCCCTGCTCAGCGGGAAGCCTGCTTCTCCCTCTCCCACTCCCCATTTGTGTTCTCTCTCGCTGTGTCTCTCTGTGTCTCTCTCTGTCAAATAAATAAAATCTTTAAAAAAAAAAAATCATCTGAGCAGTCACCTAAATCGAGGACAGTATTAATTGCTGTGGTTGTGTCAGTACAGGGTGACTCTCAGTAGTGTTTGTGTCCCTTTGATAAGTGTCGTATTTATTGACTGCAGGCTTAGTTCATCGGAGACGGTGATGAAAGGGAATCATTTTGTTCTCGCTCGTTCTTATTGGCAAATCGGCTCCTTCTTGTCCTTCGATGTAACCTGACAAAAGAATTTAATCTTGCATGATATCAGATACTTCGGTCAGAATGTAAGCTGTCATTTGGTGCATCGTGACGCAGCATGTGGAGAGCCACCTGAGGGAAGCAGTGGTACGGCAAAAACTCCTCAGCAAGAAATTCCATGTAGGAGACATTGGCCATTATGTGGGATAACTCCACAGATAGCAATGTGTTCCTTTCAGCTTCATACTTCTCTAGGATAATAAACACACCCAGCAGATTCTGATGCAATGTCTGTCAGGTTCCAGACACTCCTGGGAAGAAGGCTGCGCTGGCAGTCCTTATTTTCACAGGTAGTTTTTCTCATTTATAGTTTGCCCATTTCTAACTGCTAAAAGTTTATTAGCATGGCATTAAGCATTTAAGGCCATGGAAATACTGGGGCCCTGCTGTGAAATGAAGAATAGCCAGGGTCGTGGGCTGTGACCCTTTCTAAGTACCTGGAAGTGCTTAGAGAATGTGAACTTCTGCCCACATAGTTGACATTTGCAGGTCAGTATGTTAGCCAAGCTTGGAGAAAACATGGTTCTTTTAACTTCTGCCACTTATGTCTGAGCCCTTGACTCTAGGTAGTTGACAAGAAAAGGAAAACTAAGATAAGTGGCATTGTTCGACCTTGTCTCGTTTTCAGTAGACAAAAAGCAGGCAGCTACATGATTAATTGACTTTTGCCTAACAAAGGAAAAGCAAAAAAAATGTAAGCCCCTAAACTTCCCATATGTGGTTCTGGTTTGTAGGAGGTTATTGGTACTTCTCAGATGTTCTTTGCATGACTCATCTGATGTTGAGGCCCTTATGCTGGCAACTAAAGTTTTAGGATGTTCATTTCCAGTGCACTTTTATCCAAAGCCCTTCCTAGAAAAAATAGTCTTACCTCTTGGCTGGCTGATTCAGGCTTCAGTTTTCCCTACAGTGGTAGCAACTCTTGCTTCTTGCCCCCCTTGTAGGCATTGCCCAATTTCCTACATTCCTGGTCTCTAAACGGAGAGCATCAAATGGACTGGAGCCAGGCTGCCTGGGTGTGCATCCATCCTTATTCTGCCACTTGCTTATCTTACTTCAGAAGTTGGTATGGAGAGGGGCGCCCGGCTGGCTCAGTGGGTGGAGCATGGAACTCTTGATCTCGGGGTTGTGAGTTCCGGCCCCATGCTGGATGTAGGGATTACTTAAAAATAAAATCTTAAAAAAAAAAAAAAGAAGTTATAGAGATTACATGGGTTAATATTTGCATCCATGCTCGGCTCATAGCAGCACTATATAAATCGTTTTGAAAAAGATAAACTGTGTTCCGTATCTTGATTGTGGTAGTGGTTACATACCTATACGTTTGTCAAAACTCACCAGATATGTGCATTTAAAAAGGATTAAAAAGGTTAAAGTTTACTGTATGTAAATTATACCTCAATAAACCTGACCTAAAATTTTTTTTAAAAGATGAAAAGCAAAGTCCTTCAGTCAGCAAAGGGTTTATTAGGTGTTGCACAGTAAGATTATAAAAACATAATTCAAAAGGCTAGCTAGTCCACTTAAACAAGCCAGTTGTTAGGCAGGATAAATTTGCATATCAGCATGAGAAGGTGCTCTAGGAGATGCTGCCAAGCAGCTTATTAGTCACCTAGGTGAGAAATGCTATTACAGGGGCTTAGAAGGGGGAATTGTTTGCTATAGTCACAAAGATTTCACCAAAGTGGGAACCTGAGCCGGACCTTAGAGGGTGGGTAGGATTTGGAGAGGTGGGCATTTGGAAGGGTGCGTGGGTGCAGATTCAGGGCCCCGGGGGCAGAAAAGCATGTGAAGAGTTGAGGCAGCTGTGAAGAGCTGGTTGGACTAAAACAAACTCTGCCAGTCGATGAGGAACATCTGTGCTTTCTGGACTGATGTGTTCTCTTCATCCACAGAAAGGCCCCCCTTCTGGAAAAGACCGGGTGAAGAAAGGTGGATCCTACATGTGCCATAAGGTAAGCCAAGTCATTAAACTCTGCATTGGTGTACTAACAATAGGTTAATAGATCCACTGTAAACCTTAGCCCTAAAATGTCCCATCCACTTCTGCTAATACATACCTATTCTCATCAAAGTAAAAAAATAATAATAATAATACTCATTTCAGATTTGGATACAGGCATGGGGAAAAGAAGCAGAGGTTGTGAATAATCTATTGTTAACTAATTTCCATCTGTTGAATCTTGACCCATTGAGAGAACTTTATTGTCCCATGAACGAGGGTGGGCAATATACTATTTCCAGCATGTCTGTCTGGAAGTATACCCTTCATTTATTTGAAACTTCTATAAATTTTGGGATCCTCTGTTGAGATTAAGGTGAGAGTTGGAAATGGAGGGTGGATTGTAGTGTACTGGAATGGAAACATCACAAATGTTCTAGGTATAATGTATGTGCTTTGTGAAATAAGCATCAATCTCAGAGAGTGTTTCTGCTCTTTGGGCTATGATTTCAGCGTCAGAACTGTTTGTTCTTGGGTAATCAGTGTGAGTTGGTGTTTCACGAGTAAAATTTTTGAGGAGTTTGGAAATTGAATACCACCTCTCCTTTTTTCTTAAAATCATGTATTTTTAGTATCTCCAACACTTCAGCTTCTTTCTGTCCCTATGCAAAGATGGCATTTTGCAGATGGTTATTACAAGAAGTTTTCCATGGTAATTCAGTTAGTCCAGGCAGTTAGAGACTTAAAACAACCTATAAGGGCTCCAAATTAAATGACTAATTTGACAATGGGTGTATTATCAAATTTTACCTTAACACAGTGTTTCTCAAACTTTATTGCACATTAGAATCATCTGGGATCTGTAAAAAAGACTGATGCATATTCCCCCACTCAGCTCATTTTGATTTCTCTGGAGTGTGGCCTGGGCATCAGGGTTTTAAAGGTCTCAGGGGGATGAAAACATACTGCAAAGCTTGGAAACCACTAGTCTAAAGAGAATCTCTGTAGATTGTGTGTATGTGTATCTTCTGTATTTCTTTAAAATTTTAATCCAGTTATTTAAGTGGAAGTTCATATTTGAGTTTACTTTATGCTTTAAACCTACATTTATGACAAGATGTAGGCAAATTTATCTTTACAATTCTAATTTTAATTTGAAATTAAAAGCACTGCCCTAGGTCATCCTGGTACTTTTAAATGTTCACATACATATCAGTCTTTAGTCCCCGATTTTTTCTTTCATTCAAGCTGTTACTACAAGTGTATTGAATTCTTTTGCTAGGGAAATAGACTTCCATGAAAAACAAAATTTCTCTTTGCAGAATAGTATCTCACAACCTTAATTACCAACAGTTGTGTTTGTGACATATGACGCTTTTAAAAATTGAGAATCCATTTACTCTGCAAGATTTGAGGACCAGAAGATTTTCCCTCAAGAAAATAGAGAAAATGATGCTTATAAAAAGCATTTTTAAGCATGAACACTAAAAGTATTCCATTGCTGTGCATATGAACGTGTTTACTTTAACATTTCATATTTTTTGCTTATTTTAAATCTGTATTTTTATAAGCTTCCCGGCTTATTCTTTTAAAATATCTTTTAATCTAATATATGTTTTTAATAAATACACTTACATGGTATAATTGGTTTATCTTGTGTTCTGCAACTTTCTTAAACTCAGCTATACTAATGTTTTTGTAGATTCTTTTAGTTTTTCTACATTGGTGGTTATATCATCTATGAATATAGACAATTCTTTTAAAATCTTTTTCATTACTTTTTCTTGTTCTATTGCATTGGCTAGAACCTCTAATATAGTATTGAATATGCATGGTCTGAACAGACATTCTTACCTCATTTTTGATCATAAGGGGTTAAACATTCAACTTTTCAAAGTTAGGTGTATTAGCTGTAGTGTTTTGGAGATGTTCTTTATAAGTTCAAGGAAGTTTCCTTCCTAGCTTTTTGAGAGTTTTTATCAGAATTGGATGTAAATTTTTCTGGATGCCTTTTCTGCAGCTATTGAGATGTTTGTATGGTTTTTCTTTTTCAGTCTGTCAATATGGTAAATTATGCTCATAAATTTTTAGTTTTCAAATGTTAAACCATGTTTGCCACCCATTGTCAAATTCCTAGACTGTGCTTGCTTAATTATGATGTATTATCCTTTTTATATGTTTTGGATTCAGTTTGTTAAAATATTGAGCATTTTTGCATGTACCCTCCTGGTGGTTATTGGTCTGTTGTTTTCTTGTCTGGTTTTGGTATCATTGTATTGCTGGGTTTAGATACTGAAGTTGGGAAATATTCCCTCATCTTGAATTTTCTGCAACAGTTCATGTAGAATGCAGTATTTCTTCCTTAAATGCTTGATAGAATTCCCCCAAGGAAACCATTTAGGAGTAGAGTAGTAACCATAAATTTAATTTGGTTAACAGTGGCAGGGTTATGCAGATTATCTCTTTCTTCTTGATTAAGCTCTGGGAGTTTGTGCCTTTTAAGTAATTTGTTCATTTTAACTGAGTTGTTGAATTTATTGGCATAATCTCTGCCTTTTCATTGGCTGTTTGTACCATTTACATTTAATGTGGTTATTGATCTTGCTGAGTTTAAATTTGCCATCTTGATATTTGTAGTCTTTTTTTGTCTCATCTGTTCTTTGTCCTTTTCTCTGACTTCTTTAGTTAAGCATATTTTATCACTCCATTTTCTGTCCTTTGGCTTATTAGCTAAAACTCTTTGTTTTAAAATTTTAGGGGTTCATTTAGAGCTTATATTAAGCTTATATTCATATAGAGCTTTTCTATATACTTGAAAGGTAAGTTTTAATTTAGTCATATTCAGAATGATGAGTATTCCAGAAGAGAGAATAGCAGAGTAATAAAACAGAGTGGGATCCATAGGATTTCCCAGAAAAGAAATTAGCTCCAGGATCTTCATTAAGTTAATTGTAGATGATGTAGGTATTTAACATCAGGCTGGTATTTCAGTGATATCAAGAAAACAATACAGTGTTGGCTGTGAATTACTTTCAGAGCACTTATCCTTTTCACTAGATTAAGAGTGGCAGCTATAATTAAATTACTGAGTTGTGGACTCTGAAATTAGATCTGGGTTGGAGTTCTATAACTTCTCCTTGCTAGTCTGTTACCTTTCTTACTTAACCTTTCTAAGCCTCAGTTTTTACATTTGTAAAATGCACACCATAATTGAACCTCCTGTAAGGTTCTTAGGAGGAATGAATGGACCAAAGTATATAAGCATAAAGTATATACTACTAGTACCATCATCATTAACCATTGCATTTATTATAATTAGATTGTTTTCCCCCTTCCCTTTTCAATAAAGAGTCAACTAATGAACTAACTAGAGAGGCAGAATCCTTGAAATGATTCTTATGGCATAGGTGAAAATCAGTAAAAGAAAGGAAATCAATATAAAGAAAAAAATGTAATTCATTTTGAAAAAAATCACCTTGCTTAGAAGGTGACTTACCTTTTGATCATGGACCAGGGCTAGCTTGCATGACTAACATAAGCTCTGATGATTATTCGTACCTTATTGAAAGTCCATCCAAAGTACAGCTTCAATAATGAGAGCACAGAAAGAAAAACTGTGAGAAAACATGGTGTTGGGTTAAAGGCCCAGACTCTTAAATGGGATTGAGAAGGCTGTAGTCGTGGATCCACTGCTTATAGAAGGTGACCCTTGGCACACTATTAGCATCTCTGTGCCTCAGTTTTTTTCTGTGTATACAATGCAGATGCTAATACCTACCTTGGATGATTATTGGGAGGATTAAGTGAATTAATACATTTAATACATGTGAATTTCTTAGAACATTTCATACAGTAAGTACTCAAGAAACACTAGCTGTTGTTCTTGAATGTTGTTAGACTAATCTCTGTGGGGTCTTTAACCCAACCCATGAAATGGAGGAAATCCTCACCCTCCTTCCATTTTACACCAAGATTACTAAGAAAGGAGTTGATCTAGTGTCGATGGCAAGAGCAATGGGTGTGAAATCGAGAGACCAGGGTTCTGCTGTGTGATTTCATATAATGATTTTTTTTATAATGAGCTACACTTTCCTTAAACTTTCCCTTTATCCCTGAAAGTCTTCTTCTCATAAAAACCATATTGCTGTTCCACTTGACTTCAGAGCCCCAAGGCTGGTAAGTCATCATCTTAAATGGATTGTTCCTGAGTCCAGGATCACTTTCTTAGTGTAGGTATTGAGATTAGTTTCACACAGTAATTATTCATTTTGATGAAAAGGCTAAAGTGGGTCCTTCCCACTACCTCTGTCCTTAATTAGTGAAATGACCCATATTTCAGCCACTCAAAGACCTAACATAATTAATAACCATTTTTGGTGCTAGAAGTAGAGCTGGAAAAAAAGAAAAAGCAATGAGGACATTTAAAATCAGGCCATTTTCCTCTTTAATTATGTGTTCTATTAGTTGCCCATTATCGGAATTGAAAATGAACTACTTATTAATAAATGTTTGCTGAGTGAATGAGTTCATTTGAAATGGAATGATGATGTGAATTCACTCTCTTATGGTGGTCCTGACCTCCTACCCTTTAACTTATGATGAGACTTGCTTTTTTAGGGTTTAGTTCTACACAGTCATTTAGGTTAATGGAAGGTTATAGGGACTGCTGTGATCTCATAAAGGACTAGCTGTTTTTGTTGTCACTGATTTTAAGCTTTTATTCTTTTGCCAAAAAAAAATTCATTGCATAAAAATTAGAAAATAAATAATAAACATAAAAATGACAATAAAAAGCACTTATCCTGCTTCCTAAGTAAGCTGTCAGTAGTATTTTACCCACATTTATTAGTGCACTTTTATTTCTTTCACCCCCATAATGGAATTATTTTCTGTGTGCCAAGGTCTTCAGATATGGCTATGGCAAAAATCTCTTCTACATTACGGATCTCTTTCCTACTGTCTTACGTCACAGCCTCCTCACAGTCCTTCTGAATACAGTCTTCCAGTCGGGCATCATTTGTCAGAATTGTTACAGTCTGAATTTTGTGGCATATGAGCAGTATCT